ACACAGATTGCGAGTCGAACGCCCTAACCACCTGGCCATGCTACATACTACCATTAATAACATTATGAAAATCCAGTGGAGGGTCTCTACATACTACCATTAATAACACACTGTGAAACTCCAGTAGAGGGTCACTACATACTACCATTAATAACGCACTATGAAAATCCAGTAGAGGATCTCTACATACTACCATTAATAACACACTGTGAAACTCCAGTAGAAGGTCTCTACCTACTACCATTAACAATAAACTATGAAAATCCAGTGGAGGGTCTACAATAACACAAATATTCATGATTTTCTGTTTTCATATTTCTGGCATGTCACGGTATATTTTCTAGAAGGGCAAATTATAATCGTTTTCGAAAATAGTGAATTGTGTATTAATGGAAAAAATAAAAAATTCTTAATTGAAAAATAAAATTAGCTGCGATAGTAAGCTTTCTAACACGTAGTGTTTTACATTATTTAAGAACACTTTGAACTAACCTGACTGAACGACCTTATAATGTGTACCGATTACTTTACACATTTGAATCGTGATGTTTCTCGTAGTGAATGCAAGTGTTGGAGAATGATTTTTTTATATAGAATTTTTTGCTAATATTTTTTATAACACTTTTGTAACTTATTTTACTAATGCAACTTCATTATTATTATTATTGCCAAAATGATTTCTTTAGGGCACGACTTGATCTCCGTTTCACGCAATGGCTATACATTTAGAGCACGGAATGCTAACGAATTTGATGCTACAACAATTTAGCTCAGCTCATGTTTAGCTGTGGCTTCTAAGCATTGCTGTTAATATTTGATACAACGTGGTGCAGTGCATTTGGCTTTAAATTTTGATGCAGCAAGCGGATATAATCATTAAGTTTTGAGTCTTACTTTGCGTATTTTGTATAAATTTTTCATTAAACAAGAACACTTATAACGCACAGAAAGGAGAAGTTGACTAGAACGTTATAAGTGGCTGATGTAATAAGATGCGGCTGGATCAGCTTACATAGGAGGATTTCTGCTAGAGCTAGACGAACGTAGCCATGAGCCTATTATTAGAACAACCTAGTTACTGCCGAAGTAATGAAATAAGCATACAATCAGTTACATTTTAATCTTAGGCTTACTGACTTTTTATACTATTAATTACTGGATTTTGCCTGGAATTAATTGATGGCTTTTTTTTTTTTTGACTAGTGGCTTATTAAGTACCATGTAACCAACAAATTCGTGGATCCACAAGAAATTTGATGCATACATACTTTAGAAAAATGTTTAAAAAGCCGATGGGTTTGGATCCCGCCAGTAAATTCTAGGGTTAACTAACGTATAGCTTTGAGTTAAACTTACGGTGTCATACGTTCTTGTGTATATGTTTCGTTACAAGTTATACAAACTTGTTAATGTTTTATTCTTTTCACAGAAGAGGAAAACGTGTTCCTGAAATGACCACATGATTTGTGTTTTTCCATGCAGTAGCTGAAAGGTAATATCTTACTTATGATATCAGAAAGTTAGCAGACGTATGAATCGTTTAATAATTCCTGACTTTACCAATCTTGTAATATATGTTTGTTTCTTTGAATATTGTTACTTCTGCACGACATAGTTACTGGGCAACATTTAATTTGCTCCGGTATATCGTAAAAGTGTGAATTTTCTGACACGCCCCAGTTTTTTACATATTTTTAATGAAACCATAGATAACTTCACATATATTAAACTTTTGTTTGATGTACATTTATCTTTGCACCAAACTATGATATGCTTCCATTGGGTGGGAGATTCGGATGCGTAGATCGAACGATCACATTTCTTTAGCCATGGATAAGTTTACACACTGATTTGACGTGATTCTAACAACAGCTAGGTTTAACATTCAAGTTGGGCATTTTAGATGAAGTATTCAGAACATTATGATAGACAATTTGTTTAAGAATATATGTGCTGTATTTATGAGTCAGTACAAAAGTTTAGTCCTTAAAACACCACAACATTATATTGATAATGACATTTATTTACTTATATACTGAGTGATTGAAAAGTCCACTGGCAGGCAAATAATTTGGAAATTAAGAGGTAGGAAATTAATTGTGGTATGGAATGAGGTGTTGTGGGCCCACCCTGTGGCAATGTCATTGAGGCCATTCAAGGTCGTGTTCTTAGAAATTATTGTTAATATGTATTATGCACCAAAAATACCAATGAAAAAGCTGTGTAAACGAATAACAAAAGATTTTAAAACGAAATGTGACCAACATTTCTCTACAACAACATAGGTGACGATGAAAGTAAACGTTCTAACAGTATTATGAAATAGTGGCAGTCAGTAGTTGTGTTCAAAGTACTGTCAAATATCAATATGACGGCTTCCTTTTTGATTGCTAAACTCGGTCTCCCCACCTGATGTCTGTTTGTAAATAAGTCTGTAATAGGCAGCAGCTGACACACATATTTCCTATCATCTGATGCTAACGACGACGTTCATCTAGAAACTGTTTGGCATATAATCAGACAATAGGCCGAGCATCCTGGTGAGACTTCTCACACAGTGGGACCATGTTTAGCAACTGTTCTGCAGCCAAATACTTGTGTGCTACCTCCAGGGATATGAAACTTCCGCATAATGCACCCAGAGGTTCTGATAAATGTGCAACAAATGTGTGTATTGTGGGAGAGGGATGTTGAGGCTTAGTCTGATGTTGGGCAAATTCTCGACTTAGCACGCCATCTAAAATACCACTGAAAGCAGATGGTTCAACGTGCTTATTGCCAACTTGAAATTTCGTAATGCAGAAGTGAGACTGAAAAAGAACAACAAAAAAGATTACGTATGTTTAAGAGCTGCAGCAAGATTTGCATCACGATAGTATGTGTTACGAGTTGACGGTCTTTTATCAAATAATAATTGTAACATTTTAGACCTCCAAAAGGTACAGTAACCTGCTTATGCAAAATTCTGACGTTGTATCTAAAACCTATGTTTGTGCAACAACCTTTGCTGTAGTCGTTTATGTATATAGTTGTTATTCTTAAGAAGAGACTTAGTTACGTCTTAGCCTAAAAGGTTTCATGTGTTATTGTTTACACCTTTGCCGTTCACATTTTGGGTTTATGATTTCCGAAGGGCAAGACCTTGAATGACTTCAGTGTTACTGTTACTGGGTTGGTCCACAACACCCCCTTTTCATACCATTAACAGCTATTTTCCCATAGTTCTGCATTTTCGAATTACTTGCTTGTCAATAGACTTCTGAATCACCCCACATGTGTATGAAAACATGTATTTCAACCGATGTTACAATGTAATGCATGCCTTATAAGACAGATGTCAGGCCTGTCTAAGTACATGAATACTTTAGTGTGTAATACCAGTAAATTGTAAGATTCAATCTATTTGAAAGTTATTAAATTTCATTTTGATAAAGAATACTAATTCTTAGTTAGTGAGAAAGTAAATACACAAACGAGGGGGACAAACGCACAATAATTCAATAAGACAAAAAAAGCAAGATAGAATAGAAAGGCCTGAAAGACGTGTTAAAGATATGGAGAAAAGTGTCCTTTCTTAATTGAAAATTCGTGCCCCATTTAGAAAAGACAGATTTTTTTTCTCATTCCAGCCACTTGTAGTAACTGGAATATTGCTTTCTGATGTCTCAATCGCAAAACGTACCAAATCTTGTCTTTAATGAAAGTGTTAGACGAACTTTGTAATTACTATAAAACTTAACACCTTCTAGTAACATTATTTAAGACATAGCTATTTAGTTAAAATTTAAAGTACATGGGTTGCAAAATTAAGGTGTCTTACTGTTAGGTGTAACTTGTTTGTTATCAAATCATCCGCTCACACACGTACATGTACATATACACAATATGATTTATATAGTTTGTTTGTTATGGATTTCGCGCAAAGCAACACGAGGGCTATTTGCGCTAGCCGTCCCTAGTTTAGCAGTGGAAAACTAGAGGGAAGGTAGCTAGTCATCACCACTCACCGCCAACTCTTGGGCTACTTTTTTTACCAACGAATAATGGGATTGACCGTACCATTATAACGTCTCCACGGCTGAAAGGGCGAGCATGTTTGGTGTGATGGGGATTCGAACCCGCGACTCTGAGATTGCGAGTCGAGCGTCCTAACCACCTGGCCATGCTGGGGCCATTTTAAGAAGAAGGGGAAATACTCTTTAGGTTCGGCCAGTGTTTCAGTAAGTTATGATTACTTTGGATTAAAATATAATTTACCAAAGCTATGAGAATATTTCCTATATTGCTAAATTTGAATAAATTTTATTTATTTTCTAAGGTGAGTTAGGTTGTTGTTTGAGCTACTTTTTATGTCGGAACAAGATCTCCTATTTGTATGTAGACGAAAATTAGTACAGGTAGCCTTCGATTTACGAAAGGGGTACGTTTTTGGAGGACGTAACGTATAAGGAAAAAGCGCTGTTGTTTGTATTTAAGCACAAAGCTACACAATGGGCTATCTGTACTCTGCCCACGAAGGGTATCTAGACCCGGATTCTAGCGTTGTAAGTCCACAGACATACCGCTGTGCCACTGGGGGGCGGAAAAAACGAAAATCGAAAGCACTTTCCCCATTATTTTAAAGGTAAAATGTAGGAGATCCAAAATTTCTGGCCACATTAACGTAAACTTTTCTACCACTATAACGTAAGAAAAATACTGGTACAATTAATTCAAACAAAAACTTGAAATAAAAAGACATTTTCATTAAGAAAATACAAAATGTAGTGCACTGTACTCGTTGAGAAGTAGTTACTGCTTTGTACGTCGAGGTGACCAGAGGAGGAAGAGGCTACAGCAGTTACTGGCGATCTTCGGAAAGCAAACTCTTCTTACGACTTTTACCTAAATTTTCGTTATGGCGAAAAACGCGAACGCAAATCGAAAAACATGCCCACAAAAGTTAATTACGTTATATCGAAAAAAACGTAAACCGAACGTTCGTAAATCGAAGGATACCTGTATTTTGATTTCTAATGAAATACTAATACAGCTTATGTGAACGCAAGTTTTAATTATAATTCTCGGATAGCTATTATGATGTATGGACATCTTCATTGTGTATCCGGGTGTGAGAAATAAGGAATCAGGTTTGAAGTTTTTGGATTCCAAGATTTTTCTTTCCACATTTTCATTTTAGGACTCTCGACTCGCAATCCGAGTTCGAATCCCCCATCCCACCAAACACGCTCGCTCTTTCAGCCGTGGGGGCGTTATAATGGAACGGTCAATCCCACTATTCGTTGACAAAAGAGTAGCCCAAAAGTTGGCGGTGGGTGGTGATGACTAGTCTTACACTGCTAAATTAGGGACGGCTAGCGCAGATAGCCCTCGTGTAGCTTTGTGCGAAATTCAAAAACAAACAAATATTTTCATTTTTCTGAGTAAGAGAAGCAGTTATAACGTTTACGTTTTGAGAATTACTAGAATATCTTTATAACTCCCAATACACATTACACAATGAAAAAAGGTGGTAATAAACATGAAAAGTGAGTTTTTGAAAACCTCAGTGTGATAGTTTAGCGAGTACTATATTGTAAAAGCTTCTTGTAACTTTAAAACTAGATAATATCTGTACATCGTTGTTCCATCACAGCTTACCTATCCGTTTTTAAACTGAGTATATATTTCTGACTGTTTGAATATGATCTTAATTTCAATGTTATAACTAGCTATTAAACATGGCCTGTATAACTTCAGGCGCTCATTGTTTATTTTGGCGTAACACGCCCTAAAATATGTCTGAAATCCGTAAGCGTCACTGGTGTTACTTCCTAGGATGATATTAACAGGCTGTTGTGTTTACTGGTGTTACTTCTTTAAGGCACGGTGTTGACACGGTAGGCCGTACTAGTTTTATTGTATTTCTGTTTTTATTTATGGGACTGAATATTTCTTGTAACAACTCATATTGTTTGGTTATTGAGTCGAATGTTCTTTATCGGAAACTCATAATCAGGGCTAGACACTTGCAGAAAATATTGAGAGGGTGGGTTACCTAACGCGCAGAGATAAAATTGCAAAATTCAAACCTTCCACTACTATTCAAGAAAAATAACAATACAAATATCAGTATGAAAAATGGCGTTTCCCCCCAAAAATATTGAGTGGACAGCGTCCATCTTTCCAAAAAAAAACTGGGCAGGCAACATCTACCCTTAAATTTAATACTGCTCACAGTTATGTTCTTCTTCATTGGATCGTTTCATGTTTACCATTCTTGTAATTTATTATCCTTGCATTTTTATATTTAATACAAACATACACCGTTAAAGGTATGTTTATTTAGAATAAAATTGTATTTTGATGTTTTAGCTTTTACAGTTTTGAAACTGCAGTGGATGTACGTATCACATTTACGGCAGACGCTGAAACAGAAAGTTCGTAATATTGAAATATAAGTCTACGAAACTTGTATATTCTGCTGTTTAAAAAGCTTTGAAAATAAAACAA